ACACTCGCTGCCTGTGAAAAGCCTTCTTATTTTTAAGACTGCTTGAACTGTGGGGGAAGGGAACCCTAAAAATCCATAATGCCTTGGCATTATAAGAGCATTGTTTTGGATCCAGAGAAAATGTGTGGGCAAAACCCATTGAGTGAGGGCAGTCTGTCCCTTCTACAGGACACCAGCCAGGCTGGACAGGGCTTTGAGCAAGGTGATCTTAATGTCCCTTCCAACCCAAACCATTTTAGGATTCATTGTTATGATTAAGCAATGTAGCCCTTCTGTTCTACTCAGCACAACAAACAGGAGCTGGTCCCCTGTCCTCTAGCAGTATGGACACAGCCTTTCAAGTCATCCCAGTCAGATCAAATCCTAAGGCTACTGAGCACTGCTGACTTCCTAGAGGTACTGAAATATGAGAGATTGAGATGGGGAAGTTGCTATATAGCTGAGCCCATTTTTTGTTGGTTTTAATCTCAAAATGTTTTAAGAATTGTTTCACAGTGATCATTTTGTGGATCCAGAGGTGAAATACTACTTACATTCAGGAAGCAAGGGTGTAGGTTCACACACACACAGAAAATTCTGTCATAAGCAACAGTCCTTGCAAAAACAGATGTGATCTAACGAATACCAGTAACTGATATGACAGAGCACTTTTGCCTCTGCCTAAATCCTTTTCTGGAGATCAATTAGTAAGTAGAGTAATTAAAAATGCTCCTGCACACACACACAAAATATATATACATATATATATATATAAATTATTGATTTGACTTCAGATAGAACCAAAATCCAAATTACCTGAATGTAAATTGTAGTGGAAACCCATATTAAGTTTCAAGCATGATCTCAGAGCTGTATCAAAGTAACCTGCTCTGGATTTTAAACTGACTTCTACTGTTACTTTAAGATGAATTAACAAGAATACTTTAACTGGGATTAACAAAAAGGTATCACACACGAACTTAGTTTCTAGATTATCTCATCCTTCAAGCACAGTTTTTCTTAGTCAATTTTATACATAATAATTCTTTATAAAAAAGCCTCACAATAAACTTATACTAATCAGAGTTTTAATTCTTTTATGCTTGTTCTCACAAACACATCCCAAAATTTGCTGAAAAGAAGCCTAGATTGATTCCTGAAAAACAAAACAAACAGCTGCAGAGAACTGGAAAACTATCTCCAGCACTTCTTCCCACTTAATCTGCAACTGTTTGATTCTACACTTCCAGGAAATGCAACAGTTTTCAATAAACCATGGAATTCAGCCTTTTGGTGCAAACAGAAGCCAGACACCTCATTCACGGATGTGCCTACTGGAAGCCCTTTGTCAGGAAGGCAAAAGTCACTTGTTTACTGTCCATTTTATTCTGCTGTTCTAAGTATTCTGAGAGAAGGAAACCAGAGAAGAAATCTTATTTGCAATCAAAAGAAGGAGAGTTGAAAGCTCCCATCTAATCTGAAATATGAGCCGATGAAATCAGGTAAGACTCTAGTTTTACTAGCATATATGGGGTAAAAAAGTAGAATTCTTCAAGGAAGCTGCTTAGGTTACAATCCAGAAACTGAGCATAGGAAACACACATATATATATATAAAGAAGAGTTTTGCAGACAACAATTTTTTTTTAACAATCCAATTCATACAGATCCACAAATATATATTAAAAAAAAAAGCCTAAAACAAAACTTTGAGGCTTTTTTATATTTAATTCATGTTTTGGTTATTTTTTGACTCCCCATACAATAAAAAGGGTCTTTTAGGATTTTCAATTATTGAGGTTTTACTGTACAGTCCCAACTTGTAGCCCAGACACAGACAGAAAAACCAAAACCAAAACCACAAACAAACAAACAAACAAACACAACAAAAAAGTAATTTTGCAGCTAACATTTACAATTAGTATGAAAGTGACAAATATTTCAATATAGCATGTGACGGATACTGTCACAAATCAGTGCTTCAAAAGACAGTACAGTTAGTCAAGTTTCTTCATTGCTGGGGAGACACAATATAAATCATGATTTTGATAAAGATACTCATTTATCTTGATTATTAGTTGCCTATTTCAACACCATTATATCCTGCATCATGTGAATGATAACAAAATCTTAAGATCCCTCTCTTGCAAATATCTGGCATTTCACCATATAATGACAGCAGTATATTTGCTTCTTTAAAGATGTATTAACTACATACAATAGCTGCAAAACTAATTATATAAACCAATGTATAGTATTTTCAGCTAACATATATTCAAAGTACAGCCACATGGCAGTCCCCAAAAGAAAGAGAATTACAATTTGCATGATTTACTGATCTAAGACTGCTTAGTTTTTATTACCACTACAAAGAGGAAAAAAGACATTTGTCAATGCTAGCCTTTTAACACATTCAATGGAAACAAGGCAAATATAAGCCAGCTTCTTCCCTACAATTTTACTGACTGTAGAGACTGTAGCCTTTGACTGTATACAAATCCATTCACCATCTAACATTCCCACTCCTTTTCAGCTAGCAATCCTTCTCCATATAAAAGGTATGGTTCAACTTAAGACATTTAAATGAAGGTGTCTTTATACTAGCCAGGTCTAAGGTACCACTTAAAGAAGCATATACAATACAGTAGGCAAAGGACCTACAGAGCTCACTCTGAAGTCAATACCTAACAATAGCAGAGCAGCTCCCAGATGCCACTGGCTGCACTGACCATGCAGTGCAGGTACCCACAGGTTGTATCTGAGATGCCAAAGTTATCCTACCCCTTGCTCATTGCCTCTCCAGAAAGACACAAGTCTCCCAGAAGCATCACATCTGCTGGCCCCATGGGGATATTCCAGAGAGTCTGTGGAAACTCAAATGGTTCCAGATGACTAAATTTAAGCAAACAAATTAAACCTTACAAAGGCAGCTTTGACACCGACAGAAAGTGTGTGTGTGTGTTACAAACACATTATATGTTTCTAAGTGCCATCACAAAAGGTTTTAAAATACTTCTCACTTCTTGCCTCAAAAGATCAGTAGCAAAAGTGGCATTTCTTTCCTCTTCATATTATGTTTCCAGCCTATAATACTTTTAAACACACCCAAACCTAAAAGACTCATTTAACCCCCATTTTTCTTGTCATCTCCAATCCTTGAGAGATTCTGCTGTTCGCAGTTATTTGTTTTTCGTGTACCTCTGGGATCAAAGCTGCCCAGGGTGAGAACTCTGACACCCTCCTCGAGGGCTGGTGTTTTCCAGGCTGCCCACAGCAATGCAATTCCTTCAGAGAGAGAAAGGCTGCTGACCACGCGGCTGTACCGCACCTCCTACTGACCGCTGCTTTCAGGGGCAGCAGCTGAGAAAGGAATTATTTTGTTATTCTTATAATTCTAAACCAGTTTTTACTTCAAGAACAGGAAATACAGAAAAGTCATAAGAAAAAAAAAAAAATGAGTGGTGGTATAAAAATATTACAGGGGAAAGGAGATCAAAGAGCAGGGCAGAAGAGACATACATGAGGTACCACAGTTCTTTTCCCTTGAGGCAACAGATTTCCTCCCTATCCCTAGTATACAAGTGAACATATTCTATTAAAATTAATGACAACGGCAGGGAAAGTGTAATAGTTATGCCAGACTACAGAATGAGAAGAGCACAGGTAAACAAACTGACAGCGTTTCATTCATACCAATGGTATTGACACAAATAACCAACCAACTCAAAAGATTTAAATCAGTGAGAAGGCTTAGTCTCAGATTTCACTTTCCAGACACCTTCATTTGCACAGTACCTGTCTAATCAGGCTTCTCAGTTAAAGTGTTTTCTTTTTATTGAAGACAATAATAAATTTTTTTGCTACAGACAATGTAAGAAGACAATGCACGGTGTCAAATGTACTGGTAAGCTGAATATAGCACTTTGTAAGCTGCACACGGCAACTATTATCTATTATGTTCAAAACTCAAGTCATTAAAAAGCTGTATTTTGTAGTGATTCCTTTAAAAATAATCATGGTATGCCTTAGCTCAATTTGCAGAGTTACTATAAACTACACAGACTATGTTAAAAAAGAGACTATTGATATTTCAATATGAGGGGGGTGGTAATTCAGCTTTTGTTGCATTGAGAAGTCATTTTTGGTCAGGAAAGCATTGACTTACATTCTCTTGTCATCTAAACATGCACACACTTTACAAATATATGTGTAAAAAAAAAAAAAAAAAGATTTTCCAACCCTATATGGCTCATCATGAAAATATGCGCATTTTAATTTTGTGATCAGCAACACTGAAATCAACTGAGGTTCTCAAGAGGCTGGAAACACACACCAAATCTAAGAAGGTGCATCTTACTACACACGGGCTCAATGTCATTTGGTACCCGCTTAAAAAAAAAAAAAAAAAAGAAAGTTTAACTGTTGATTTAAAGGCGAGGACGTACGCAAATTTCCATTAAGACATTACTTTCCCTGGCATTTTATTCACTTAGAACGACAGGCAGACATCTAGTAGGAAAAATGTGCGGATCCACCGCTTGCAGCGGTGTAAATTACTCTCATTTCACGCGACAATAACTCCATCAGCCCAAGGGGCATACATACCACCGGCTCTCCCCTTCCTTCAGGGTTTGCACTGGGGCACCGACGCAGTATCTGCGCCTGACCGCGGACATTTGAAAGCCGGGGGACACGCCGCATCTACCCAACCCGCCCCAGCCGAAGCTGCACAGCACGGAACAGGGCACCGGGGGGAGGTTTAGGCAAGTGTCGGGTGCTCCACGTTTCGCAGAGCCCGCACCCCAGCAGCAGCCTTTCTCTCCTAAGTAAGGAGCCAGGCGCGCCCAGAGGTTCCGCCCGGATGCTCCCCGCCGCCACCCATTAACCGCCGCCGAAGGTCCCACGTTCAGAGCCACCGCCCCGCGACCGGGCAGCACGTCCTCGAGTGAGCCAAGCTACCGCCGCGGCATCCCCTGCCCCGCCGCTCCCTGCGCCCTCCGCCCCGCGTAAATTGTTCCTCACCTGCGCCCGGGCACTCCGGGATGCCCCGGAGGGGGCCGAGCTGCCGCAGCTGGAAAACTTTCCGGACGGCCTGGCAGCTCTGCGGTGGCACCGCGCCCCCCGGAGCGGCGGCGGCCAGGGGCAGGATGCCGAGGCTGAGGACGCCGAGGCTGAGGACGCCGAGGCTTAGGCTCTCCCCCCCCATCGCCCGGCGGCCGCCTCAGGGAGCGCAGCAGAGCCGCCGCCGAGCCATCCCCGTCCACTGACCTCCCGCCGGGACCCTCCCCCCGCCGGGCCCCCGCCAGCTTCCCTCTCGGACGAGGAGGGCCGCCCAGGGGTCGAGAAGGGGCGGGGGAGGGCAGCGATGAAGCGCTGCCCACCACCGGTGTCGCCGTGGCTCCACACCGCCCCGCCGGGCTCGGGGGCGGGCACACCAGGGGCGGTGCGGGGCGGGAAAACCCACAGGGAGAGGACCGCACGAGTTGGTATATAAGCGATAACCCCCAAAAAAGCACGAGAAAAGAGACTTAAAATAACTCGTAGTGTTATTTAGTAACTGTCTGCAATAGGCTTGCGAGCTGGCAGTAATACACAATTAGTCTGGCTTCAAACGACAAACTTCTGCTTTTCTGACAAGAGACTCAAAGAATTCAGCTACCTTCAAGACATCTTCATAAGCTGGTTTTCTTAGGCAAAAGTGCCAGGTTTACAAAGCCCTCTCATGCCTACCAGCCAAAGTCCAGTGTTATCTGTCCGAGCAGCCAGGCAGCAGCTTTCTAGGTGCCAGAGTTAAGAATCCCTCCCCCATGCACAAATTTAAGTATTACACCTCACCCTTTACAACCGGAAATTGTCCTTAGTCCGTCTTGAAGCTGCTGGTGGTCATTCAGCCCTTTGCAGCGTTAGTCCATCCCAGCTTTCACTTCAAAATAAATCTCTTATCTGCAGCAGCGATTTCAACACAAGACTGTGAAAATAGTTCGAGTGTGATATATTCTATGCATCCATTTAAATACGGGTGACAAATCAACACTTAAGTTCTTAAAACTTGCACTAAAGATCAACCATTTCACTGCTGAGCAATAAAAGAATGGCATTACATTAACATTACCCAGTATACCGGGTTCCTAAGAAGCAGAGAAGACGAGTATTTCACTTTTTTGAATCATCTATGCTCCTGGACTTGGCAACGTCCTTCTGTCAGCAAGTTTGTACATTATATGAAATATCCTTTAATAGAAGTTGTTCTTCTGTTCTTCTACTGTTGATGCATAAGGACTGAACACAAATGACAGCTTACAATCTTCTTGCTAAAGTAAACTACATTTTAGTCACCTAATGAAATAAAAAAAAAAAGGGGGAAAAGAGAACAGGGAGTCCCACTTGCAAATAAAAAGATTTGGTTAATTTGAAAAATAGAAATAATTAAAAAAGTCAATGTCGTGTGTGGTTCACTGCTTAAGTAGGCAGCAAACCTCTCATCAGTCAGTAAAACACTGCCTTAAACAGAATGCTTACTTTTAAATATTGAAAAACATTGCTGAGGAAAACCACCCAAATATAGGAGCCAGAGAACACAGACAGGATCTTATTCATCAGCTTGAAGATGGCAGGGGAAATTCTGCACATCTCAACACCTAGTATAAGATGTGCAGCACTCACAGTAAACATGAAAATTAAGTATTAGGAGATGGGGAAAAACTCTTGCACGTTAAGAAATATACGCAAGTATTCCTACTTCAAAAAAAGTAAAATAAAATAAAAAACTAGGTTTCTCATTTACCTCAAAACTGTACAGAAGTTTGGCAACAGAGACAGATGACGTTGGGAAACCTCTTTAATTTGAATTACTACCTCCTCCCATCTTCCACTAGTGGCAATTCAGAGGAACTTGTACCCTCATGTTCTACAGAATAAGGGAAAAGGGAGCTTTTTGGTAAGAAATGGAACATACCTGTTTTAACTAGCTCTTTCAAGATGAGGAAGAGTCTAGTTTAGTGGAAATGGAATGAGTTTTTGTTTGGTTGTTGAGGGATTTGGGGGGTTAGTTTGCAGATTATTTTCTTTTTATAACTTTAGCATAGGGACTGTGAAGGAAACAATTTTGGCTTTATCATGACACTAAATTTAACTTTTTTGTTTTATGCTTTGAAACATCACTGATTTTAGTGTTAAAGTGTATATTTTAGCTAACAAGTTTCATGAATCGGATATTCTGGAAAAGTTATGACATATTTGCAATCACATGCAGAAGGGACTTCTCTCATTTTAACACGAGAATATATAAATACATATATATATATATGAACTTTATGAGAGAACATTAACATTGGCTTCAGACCTCTTTTCTTGACCAAAGCCGTAACATGTGCCCTTGGTGAATATTCGTAAATATCCAGCTGTCAGCAGACGACTGAAGAATGATTCCAAAATTCTGCCTTTGATCATTTTCTTAACCATCATGAACAATACCACTGTATTACCTGAAATACTGACACATGCCTTCTAATCACATCAAGCTAAAATGAAGCTTTCTATTCTCTTTGGCACACAGCACTAGGTTTCCTGCTCATGTACACAGATGGCATTCTCCTTTGGACTGCCATCTTGTGCCTACTGGCTGTGCCATCTTCCCTGTTTGTATCCTCTCAGAGAGCTCCTGCAAAAAAAACCCTTCCTGACCTGTTGCTTTGACAACATCCACTTTTCTTGCACTCTTTGTTGTGTCAAACTCAAGTCCCTTGGCTTTGATTGCATATCCTTTTACTGTTCCTATCTCAGGGAAGAGACGTTTCCCCTCCCAGAGGACTACAGCACCTGTCTCCATCCTCAGCTTCTGAAATCGTCAAATACTTTCATGCTATCTCCTATTTTTGTCTCGTGTATCTGAAAGCAGTTCAAAAATCCATTAAGCTTCTGCGTTTTTCTAAGTACTTCTTTAAAGATTTCTTCACTATGCTCTTTTTACTATTATTTTTATACATATCACAGCAATTAAGGAAGTTTTTAATTAAGAACTGTTGTGTTGACTAGCACGTTCACATCATGTCTCAGTAGCAAATTCTACCCATCTGTTTCTGGTCTAATACACGCTCTCTGTAGGTTCTTGGTTCTGATGCTATCCTTTTGCTTTTTATACAGCTCTAACCAGAGCAGGGATCCCTGACATTAAAGCAAAAGCACGGAGTGGAACCCACCAACTTTTTCTTCAGTTATTATTCCATAGTCATTATGGTAGATAAATTTAAAAAAAAGAATCCTGCTATTTAAAATTGAGATAAGTAAGCTAGTAAAATAGGGTTAAAAGCTATCCAACATTTGGATTCATAACACTACTGGACAGTTATAAACACCACAAATTTATGGTGAGGCCAGTAAAGCTTCACGCACAACTCTAAATTTAACTCATCTAAGGGTCCATTAACTGTAGTGTTGAAAGAGTTCATACTAGTATTACAAAAGTTTGAACTGATCTGCAGATGAATTAGTTTATTCACTCTGGAGACAAAAAAAAAAAGAACACAACAAACATAAAATTGTATTTTAATTCAAATATGTATGAAATCTTACCAAGAAAGCACCATTTTGTTTCATGCTTCGAATTACAAAGAAATGTAAGCTGAGACCTCAGCTAAGGACAGAAGAGAAAGAAAATGCTGAGGAAACAATTCCAGACCAGAGAGGAGTATCATATACCTCCAGCATTGCTTACTCCCACCCCCAAGAGCATAATCCAATATAAACAAACTTCACTTGCTGCTTCCCCAAGGTACCTTAAAGATCCTCTAGTTCCAACCTGCTTGCTATGAGCTACCTTCCACTAGACCAGGTTGCTTCAAGCCCCATTCAACCTGGCCTTGAACTCTTCCAGGGATGGGGCAGCCACAGCTTCTCTGGTCAACCTGTGCCAGTGCCTCACCACCCTCATAGTAAAATACTTCTAATATCTAATCTAAATCTCCACTCTGTCAGTTTAAAGCCATTCCCCCTTGTCCTGTCACTATATGGTCTTGTAAAAAGTCCCTCTCCAGACTTCTTCTAGGCCCCCTTTAGGTACTGGAAGTCTGCAACAAGGTCTCCCTGGAGCCTTCTCCAGGCTGAACAGATCAAGCTCTCTCAACTTGTCTTTCCTGTCACTGGTGGTGTCACTCAGGGCTTGGTGTTAGGGCTAGTATTGTTTAATATATTCAGTGATGATCTGGACAAGGGGACTGACTGCAGCCTCAGTAAATTTGCAAATGATGCTCTCAAGTGTTGATTTGCTGAAGGACAGAAAGGGTCCACACAGGAATCTGGACAGGCTGCATCGATGGGCTGTGGCCAATGGTATAAGGTTCAACAAGGCAAAGTGCTGGGTCCTGCATTTGGGTCACAACCACCCCATGAACCGCTACAGGCTTGGGGAAGAGTGCCTGGAAAGTTGTTCAGCAGAAAAGAACCTGGGGCTCTTGAATGACAGCTGCTTAACAGGAGCCAGCTTGTGCCCAGGCAGCCAAGGTGGCCAGCAGCTGATAGCAGTACCCACTCTTCATGCTGGGCAGTGACTGCTCCCACAGGTCATTTCCAATAGCCAACCCATGCTCTGCCGCCCTCAACCACAGGAAACACAGAGCAAGACACTTAACACAACTGGCCCCTACTCCCCAGGTGCTCCCTTGGCTGTGAGAGAAGCCCCCCCACGCAGGGTAAAGGTGCCCTGCCCAGACATCAAGGTACATTGCTCACAGCTTTGCATTACTGCCTTCCCCTACAGTGACACAGAAAAGGATTTTACAACACAGGCGCTGCATCCTGCCTGCACAGAAAGACCTTATGTTCTTCACAGAAATTCCAAGTCCAAACATTCACTTTGGAGTACGGTACCCAAGATGTAATTGCACATATATTTTCATAAAGGTTTTATTTATTTAATAATTTATACTTCGAGCGTAGCTAAGCATTCAGCCATTTACTTTGAAAAGTACTTCTCCTTGCTGCTAGGTACACTGTTTCCATGGAGACTCCTCAGTTATTCATGGATGAACACCCTTCATCTACTGTTTTCATTAATACCACTTGTCTTCTTTGCAGGGTTGTTAACATGGGCCTGGAGAATTAAGACTTTAGGAGAAAGAACATCTAAGAAGGAATGCCCAGCAGAGGAGACTGCAGCAAAGCAGCAACTTCTACAAAGTACTAGCATGTAACACAGAACATATCTGCTGT